CTGATTAGTTCACCACAACCGTAGGAGGGGTCTCTGTCGCATTTGTCAGTTTGCGTCTGTTCGCTCCTGTGAGTTCATAGGGGCGCCACCGGGAGGACCGAGACTGCTCTCTTGTCGGATAGCCCAAGAGCGTGGGCATCGCTCGCGACTGTTTGCTGAGATTATCGAGTCAAAAGCGCATGAGTTTAGTCCAACTGGAGTTGCTGACTCCTCAAGTGTGTGGCAGCCACGTCGTGGCAGCCGTTTGTGAAATTGTTAAGGTTTGGTCTTTCTATTTACTTTATTTGAGTAGTTTGTACCTTTACTTTAGGACCATATGACCCCCACACTTTTTTAAGCTGCACGTAAACACAAATCCGTGTTGCAAAATGGTAAGGCAAAGAACCGTACCAAATGTGTTTCTTAAAAGGCCACGTACGTTGCTGTTCCCATCAGCTGGGACTCGGGGTTAGCTAAAGCCGTTGTGGGGAAGCTGTGAGTTTACAGCACCTTTTAATCAGACATACACAAGCTACCACGACTCTCCCCAAATCGCTTCGATTTTCTGATCGCCCTGCCAGTACCTTCTTATTTTGTCAAACTCCAGCGTATAGTCTCGGACCACCGTTCGGCTTGACCTTCCGCCCAGGGTTAAGTCGTCTTCACCGATTTTTTTGTAATTACTGTTGGACATGCCGTTGAGATTACAGCTAACTTTACAGTTAGGTTTTGGTTTGCAGCTAGAGTTAGTTTTGAGCCTACGGTTGAGTTGGGATTAGACTAAACAATACGGTTAGGGTTAACTTTTGGCTGAGAGTTTGAGTTATGATTGTCACTACGGTCAGGATTATATTTCGAGTTGTGGTGCAGTATGAGGCTCAGATTACTGTTTAGGCTACGAATTAAGCTTACTGTTAAGGTCAGATTTGGGTTGACGTTAGTATAAGGCCTGCGGTTAAGATGAATGTGACTGTTTGGCACAACGCCACGTTCAGGATTAAAGCAAGACCACACGAGGTTAACCGGCGTGTTTCTCAAAAATTGCGAACCGGTATGGGAAACCTGACCAGGTTACTGTCACAGGTTAAAGTCACATTTTTGTCTCCTATGGGATTAATAAGGGCTCTCGTCGCGTTCGACTGACGAACTCTCTTTTTTGTTTGTTCTCGTTCTCTTTCAGGCGCCTCGGAAGCACTCAGACCACAGTGGCCCAACTGCAGCTCCACTACGCCACCGCTATTCATATTCGAGCAGCTCGAGTGGTGGCAAGTTTTATCCGGCCGATCACAGATGCCGCAAATCCTTTCAACAGCACAGAGGTCTTGGACGTCTCCGACTGTCAAACGGCAGAGGACTACGACAAGCTCTGCAAAGTTAGTTGCACGTACACGCCACAGAAAGCTCTGACTCAGTTGTGTCTTTTCTCTCCTTGAGTCTCACATGTGATGTTATCATTAAGAACTTACTAACTAGAAGAAAATTACCGACAAAGAAGAAGGGGACTGGAACAGTCACTTCTGGCTTATTAGACGTCGCCAGCCAGCAATTACCAACCTCAGGTTTTGCAGCACCTGAGGTCCGAATTCGAGACCTGTTGGTCAGGAGTCTAGTGCCCTAACCATTCAGCCGTGAGCTCGTTGTTTTTCCGGTTGCCATGGGATATATTAACAACCGTAGACAGGGCGCCCACCAATCAGGTTACGCAACACATCCCCGAGACTTAGTCTCGAACTTCGCGAGCAGTCACGCAGTGGCTAATGAGATTTTGTGTATATTAAGAGAAATTTCCTTTCGCCAGATTTCTTTATAGGTGCTTTCGATGTTGGAGTACCACGAGTTGCAGATCATCCTTGAAATAGTGGTGATAGCCTCACGATTTTCAGTGTGTAAAATCGATTGTCCAGAAATATAGATTTTGCTCTGTATTTAGCAAAATCTCCAAAATAACATATTTCCTAAAAGCATTTGCCAAAGTAGTGAATTTTTGGAAATTCCTTCTAATGCAGAAAATGCAGTACGCCCATTTCCCGAAAAACGGCCAGGTACCTGATCCGGAAACGGCTTTGCCAGCAACCCTTTGGTAAGGTTGTTAAAACCCAAATCCTAACCAAATAATTGTATTTCTTCCAGTCATCTGCTCAAATGTTAGTACCCTACCGTGTTATTGTTCAGTTGAGTCGTAGTGGGACATATTCATGCTGCCAAACCAAGTTTGCTCGGTTATATCTTTACCAAAGAGGCTTGACCGCAGATCGCTCGAGCACATGTATTCATAAGGTCTACTTAAATGGTTTAAGTAACCGTTGTTTTAAAATCTAAAAAGATATCTGCAAAAGTATAGCAAACACCGCCTTTCCTACTACGCTTTCTTTTTACACGCGTCCTACTCCTCAGCAATTACCGGAGGAGGCTCTCGTGCCCTGCCTAGCAACATTGTGCAAGTCCATCTGGAACATTCTCGTCTGCTACCACCGCACCGCTCTCTGGCATGAAAACGAGGCCAACGGGCACACCCGGTCGCGGTTTCCTAAAAACTCTTCCGAAGAGGAGCTGTTAGCCGAGGTAGGCATCGCCCGTTTTGGTCTCATTTTCTTTCCTAATTTACCCTAATGCCACTATCGACCGTATGGTATACTTTTTTTGGAGAGTCACCGCTCATGTCTCCCCCACATTGCGTTTTATTCCGACTCACTCCTCTTAGGTTTGAGCAAATGCTGGCATTTAAGTGCTTTTTTAAAATTTCGTTTGTATCTGCGAGCTGACTAGCCACTAGGACGTTGATATTTACATTGATTACGGTGGTGACTGGAGTGTTGTTTTAATATGGGTAGCTAAACAAATTTGCTGTATCCAGTAGACTGCACTCTCTAAATAGGTCAAGCTTCATTCACAAATTCACTAGCATTAGGTTGTCGCAGTGGCTAACCTCGTCTGATTTCACTGGTATGTTGGATGGGTTACTGGGATTGTAGCCGCTGTGATCAGCCTTACTTTGAGGCTACATACTATACTATACTGGCAACCCAGGTACTGGCTAAAAGGCCCTGACACGTGTTTTGCCGATATTCTGCTGCTGCAGGACAGCCGCGAGGATTTCGGCTTATTGGTGACTTTTCCACCGTTCCTCATGTGCCTTCTGGCAGGTACTTCAGTTTGGAAAATATAGCTTTTTAGTCTTCTCAGTAATTTTTCGCTAATTTCGTGTAAACCAGTTTGAACTAAGGTTTGTAAGCGCGGACATAAGGTTGATAGGAATAGTGGGGCAAGTTCATCAGCCACAGTCGGATAACAGCAAAATGTTCATTAAACTGTCAACGGCCAGTTAGTATTGGCCAGTAGCATTACTGGCAGCGCAAGTACTGACGTAAAGCCCGGATACGAGTTTTGCTGATATTCTACAACACAATTGCGCGAGTTCGACTCAGCACTGGACCCACAAGCCTCTCCTGGTGCTTTCTGGTAGACCATCCAATTTAGAAATCGCTACCTTTCAATTTTCTCAGAAAAATTGAAAGTATAAAACGTAGTTCCGACTGATTTACTCCAAGTAAGGGATTAAGTTCTCAGTTTAAAAAGCTGTAAGAACATATTTTTTGGATTCACAGATGAGAGTTGGGTGACGAATGGAATCAGGCTGAAACAACCACCTCCTCCTGGAGGGCATGCAGTGTAGTTGTTAATCCGTAAAGGTGAATTCCCATTCCGGGTGCCACCCTGCAGTGTGGCCGAAACCGCGCACATCGTTATGAAGGACTTCTCAGGCTTTTTAAAATGAGTTTTGTCGAAGCACAGCGGAACGTAAGGCTCTTTTTTTGACTACTGGTCAAGGTAGTACCATTCATGAGGTGAGATGAGATTCATTGAGGTGACTTGGGAATTTCGGGTACGAGCGGGTCCCCAAC